CTCTCTCTCTCTCTCTCTCTCTGTCGGTTCCTAAAACACTTCGTCATTCTAACTCACACCATCTCTCTTTCCTCCACAGCACTACGAAACGATAGTCAAAGCGCTGACCAAAGAAAAAAATCAGCTAGATGGTGAGTACTTTGTCAAGCATTGTAAAAGAAATTGATGTGTTATCCCAGAAGTGTGTTCTTTGCAGGTTACTTTGTCAGCAGTTGAAAAGCGCTTAGAGCAGGCTATAGGTTAGCAATGGATATGCGCTATATCTACTGTCCAAGACTCCATGACCGCGAGAGAACAATTATTATTCATAATTTCTCCAATTTTGAGTGGAACTGCACCAAGTTTGAGAGGATTTCTGTTTGATCATCCAGACACTATAATCTATGCTCAAATCTGAACTGGTCAAACGAGCACCGCTTCATCAGGCATGCCTTGAAGTAACCCAGAAAAGGCGTTTTGAGTTAAAAGAGACGCTGCCAAAACAGAAGCTTAAGCCTTTTATTTCGGGGAGTAGGAACTGATTCTACGTCTAGATCTAGTGTATCTTCTGAAAGAGAAATTTTGAGGGTGGTACGAACAGTTCAAGGTGATATGATGTCTGTCAGATGGAGAAGGCATTAACAAAACAGTGCGAAAAGGGAAGTCCGTTCGCATGTTGGTCGCGACAACTTTAAAGAAGTCTGTTCGAAAACGTAGGGGTGAACTAGGCTTGTCAAAGTCCCCAGCTAAACTGAATCTTTAAAGCTTGATTCGAAAATGAAGCTGTATCACATTTTTGTACACCAAGAAATAACCCCAGAAACTGCTTTGGAGAAAGAAAAATAGTGAATGCATGGATTATCATGACAAGTAAGACGGAGATGGATTGGACATGTTCTGAGAAGAGAACCGGACTCTATTGTGAAGACTGCCCTCCGCTGGACTCCCGAAGGACGTCGCAATAGGGGCAGACCCAAAGTGACCTGGAGACGCAAGGTAGAGTCTGAAATGAAGTCCTGGAATCATTCGTGGGGAACGCTGACCAAGATGGCCCAAAACAGACAGAGCTGGAGATCCTTTGTTGCTTCCCTAAACACCAGATGGCGTAATGGGTAGTAAGTAAGTAAGTAAGTAAGACGGAGAGAGAAAGAGATAATATTCCAACGTCAATTCGCCTTAGCGACGAGGCTCACTTCTACGAAACCAGAAAAGTTTTAACTCTGTGAATTGTGTGCGCTGGAAATAAAAAAGACCACATGATTTGAATGAGAGGCACTCAAAAAGCGAGACCAGGACCTTGTCAGAGCTACCACCCTGCTAAATTGTCAGAACGCTGCACATTTTAGTCCGAACACGATAATGCATTGCGCGTAATTTGGGAGAGTGGGGGCAGGGCATGTGGGGCATCTTTTGAAAAGCTAACAGTTTTAATGCGGATTTCTTTTTTCATGCAATAAATTGTGTAAATAATAATGATACTGCTGCTGCTGCTGCT